GCACTTAGGGATTATAACCCTCAGGCAGTAGAATTCTCCTTTCTGTGTTGCCGGAAAAGAGGGACCATCAAAAAATTAAAAGAATAAATTGAGTGGAACAATTTATTTTTTCAATTCTAAATTGTATACATATTTAATCGCCTCTATTAATGCCAAAAGCATATCCTTTTAGGCCTTTTTTGTGTTACGCCTCCACAAGTACTCCACTACCACATCAGCGAAATTACCGGTGTGGTTGTAATTCCGCGTAGAAAAGAATCGCTTCACCACCCTCCATTGCGATTCTATCCGCTGTGTGTGGGTCCCGTCTTCTGCGATAAACGGATTAATGGCGTCGCTATGATTGACCTTCTGATGGGTGAAACCATGATCAGAAAGGCAATCATATGCGCGCCAGAAATCCGTCCTTATGATCGACCCCTCGGCCACATGCTTCTTGATCAGCGGAATCAGAATATCCGCTGACCTGCAGTTGTCTGGGCATACTTCCAGGCGTAGATCCTCGCTGCCATCTTGGATCATGCCCAAGACCCAGTGACCCTCCACTCGTCTGCCTGAAAATGGGAAAGGGAAAATTAAAATCATAACACAACAAGGGAACAAAAATTACCTTTATTGAACTTGCGTTTTCCAAATTTACTCTCGTCAATCTGGACTATCTTCCCCGGACCACCTATTTTTCCGCTGGCTTCTTGGTGGTCCAACTGGTATATTACCACGGCTTCTCGACAATAGCTATACCAGTCGGTGATAGTCGCAGATGAGAGAGTTTTTTGTTCTTTCACGTGGTCTTGGCGCAGAACCATTTCTCGGCTGAAGTTCTCAACGAAGGCGTACATGAGATAGTACACGTGGGGCACGCTTATACGGACCCCCTCGAACCACGTCCCTGCAGCTACAGATACGCGGGGTCTTTTGGCACAATTTCCCCGCCGGCATACGAAAAACCCAAACTTGCCACCCTTTCGCCTATTCATAGGTAACTTATGAAAGGGGCAAACCCTTGTATTTGGGATCAAGCCGTGCTCCTCCGCGAATTGAGTCCCCTGCTCATGGGTCCTCAACTCCAACACCAAACGCGCAAAATTCCATTCACCGCCTTTATTGTAATCCCTTGCGCTTGCGCTTGTGGAAGGACGTTCATCTAGAAACAAAAGAATTGCATTTATGGGCAATTTTTATATACGTTAACTACTTACCAGCCATTTTAATAAGAAAAATCGAAAAAATATGTGCAGCAATCGAAATGAAATAGTTCATATAAATTTCGCGTACAAAATGAAATTCACCGTTATACTTAGAAATACAACCATACCCAACACCCGAAAGGAGCCGCAGGGACAGTAAATACATATTTTCCATGGAAAGGTTTATATTTTTAATGCTGACTGGGTTATATCATATTTTCTTTTGTCTCTCATCCTTCTTGTATATTTAGCAGTTTGACAGCTAAACGCCACCATTTAATGTGCATATGCAACCAAAGGCAAACGCGTGGTTTTGAAGATGTTTTTATTTAATAAATTGTGATTGATAGATTAAAATTAAAGTAATAAAGAAAGTTGTAACAAGTCGAATAAAGTTTAAAGTGAAGGGGAATATAAAAATGCATTAGTGAAGTGGCTGCTTTAAGGAAAATAGGAGTGATAAATGTGAGCTATTTTCCGAATTTTACAAAAAAGGGCATATTTCAAACCCAATTTGTAAATAAATTAGTGACCAAAAATTACAATAGTGGATGTTAAAGTAATGGGTAGACCCTTGGCTACAAGTGTGTGCAATTTTTTTTTGGATCGGGTCACCCCTTTGGACGCAATACCCCGAAATAGGTGGGCCACTTACTAAACCGTACCCCTGTTTACTATTTTCTCAAGAATACTAGCACATTCCCTCTGGTTTCGCGACCCCTGATAAGATTTTTTCCGTTGGCCAATGCAAGAATAGCGTTGAAAACTAAATATGGGTAAAGTAAAAATTCTTAATTTAGGTTGAACAACTAAAGAGCAGAACCCTTCTCACACATATTTCTGCCAAAAAAATAGCGCTCTGATGCTATATGCAAGAAAAAATTCCTTTCAATGTCATGAGCTTTACCGATGGTCTTATTTCCACTTGTGTAGGCCAATAAAAGTCCTTATATATATATATTATAGGAGAACCAAAAGGGAGTGCAATGGGGTATAGTCATTGCGCTGGGTATGCAGTTACAGTTGCAAGGCTATACTCAATCCCGACTCTTGCGTCCTCGTTCGCGCACTCTGGGCAACGTGAGCAACCCATGTGCGAGATGCGGTAACCAATCCGAGTGGAGCCTTGGGTCACGGCAGAAAGAGAGGGAGCTTCGGTGGGGCCACTCTGACTTATTCGGTTTAAGGGCTCACTGAAGTCTGCAGCGTCTGTTCACCAGTAGGTGCGGCTGCAAGCGGGTGTCTGCTTGGAGCAAGCGGCTCGCTATATAAACGTGTATTTGGTTGCGAAACCACCCCCGTCCCAGCAATGGGTTGTGCGCTGGGCTTGGGACCCGCCACGTAAAAACCACTTCCAGTGAAGAAGCAAGGCAAAGCCTCGGATGAGACCCCCCCTTATGATGACGACCACGGCAAACGTTTAAAGGACTACGATTTGAGGGCATGCACCTGGAATGTCCGGACCCTTAATGGGGAAGGTGCCTCTGCCCGGCTGGTTGATGTCCTCGTAAGGACAAAAGCTGACATCACCGCCATCCAAGAAATGCGTTGGACGGGGCAAGGCAAAGAATGTCTGGGGCCTTGCGACGTCTACTACAGCTGCCATGTAAAGGAGCGCAAATTCGGAGTTGGATTTGTGGTGGGAGAGAGACTCCGTCGCCGAGTACTGTCGTTCACCCCGGTGGACGAGCGTCTAGCCACAATCCGCATCAAAGCGAGATTCTTCAACATCTCGCTCATCTGCGCCCATGCCCCGACGGAAGAGAAGGATGAGGCATCCAAGGATCTCTTCTATGAGCGCTTGGAGCGCACGTACGAGCGCTGCCCCCGTCATGATATCAAAATCGTGCTTGGCGACTTCAATGCCAGGGTGGGCAAAGAAGGGATCTTTGGAACCACCGTCGGAAAATTCAGCCTCCACGACGAAACGTCCGACAACGGATTGAGGCTGATCGACTTCGCCGGGGCCCGAAACATGGTAGTATGCAGTACTAGGTTCAAGCATAAAAAGATCCATCAAGCTACCTGGCTGTCTCCGGATCGAAAAACGAGAAACCAAATCGATCATGTTGTGATAGACGGAAGGCACGCTTCCAGTGTTTTAGACGTACGCACACTCCGAGGCCCAAACATCGACTCGGACCACTATCTTGTTGCAGCCAAGATAC